CAGCTTGGGCTAAGACTTCTAGCACAGTATTGACTAGGAGTGGTGATAAAAAGTATCCTTGTCTAGTTTCTGTGTACAAGGTGAATGCTTTCAGTTTCTCTCCATTGAGACTAAGGTTGACCATTGATTTTGTATATACGCCCTTTATTATGTTTAGGGGTTTTCCTTCTATTCGTATTTTGTTGAATGTTTTTATTAGGAATGACCTCTGGCAGAACAAGATACTCAGCTCGGTGGGTGAAGGTGAGGGCCGGCCACACTTCTGGTCGATAAGAGGGCAGGGGCGGGATGATTATATCTCTCTGGTGTGGTGGCACTAGGGTGGCACCTGTGCTGTCCTGGGCAAGCAGGGCCTTTTATTAGATTGCTGCCTCTAGAGGTGTAGTGGGCTACCCATTGGGCTGCTAATGCCAAGGTCAGCAGTTCAGAACCACCACTCCGTGGGTGAAAGAGATGATCGTTTTCTTCTCCTGTACAGATTGACAGCTCCAGAAACCCACAGGGGGCATTTCTACGCTGCCCTCTGGATTCAGAATTAATTCACTGGCAATTAGATTTGTTGGTGTCCCCTTTTTTCCCCCACATTCCCTTTACCCTCCTGATATCTGTACTCTCGTTATTGGTCCGGAGGGGTTTATCTGTCCTGGGCCCCCTATGTTTCCAGCTCTTATCTGTACCCATGTACTTGCTGTGGTCTGGCTGGATTTATAAGGTAGAATTGGAATCATGATAGTCGGGGGATAGGAAGCATTAAAGCAGTACAGGAAAGTTGTATGTTTCATCGATGCTGTACTGCACCCTGACTGGCTCGTCTCCTTCCTGCAACCCTTCTGTAAGAGGATGTCCAGTTGCCTACAGATGCCTAAAGATTTCTCAAACTCTGGGCCTGTCTTTCTAATTTACACTAACAGATATCCTTCAGAGAATGGCCAACTCATCTCATGTTTCATTTCAGTCCAGAAAGAGATAGCCTTTTTCAAAATAGCCCTGTCAGCCTTTTCTCTTCCCCAGTTCAGCCCTGCCACATTGATTTACTGTTTGTTACCTGTTACCCCCACTTTCTCACTGCACCACCCTGGAGATAAAAGGACTCAGCCCCGAGGGGTCCCTTTCATCTTCTTGCCCTTTTCCCCAACCCCAGCTCAGCCACGCATTCACATTCTCTCCAAGGAGCCTGCATTCCCAGGAATAACAGAGCGAGTCCTGGAATCCCTGCACAGGTGGAGTTTTCTGTTGTACTTGCTCTGCACAGGAATTTTTGAGTCATGAATATTAAATAACTAGAGCTCACAAGGTCTGCCTCCATCTTGCACCCTTTAAATACATACTGGCTCTCTTATTTGAGGCCACTTGACTTTGTTTACTTAGCACCATTCAGGTTAAAGCAAGTCTGTTAAATATTTACCCACAAGGCGGATATTTATACATGAATTAGCAGCACTTATCAGTGCCCCGCCAGATGCAGGTTCAGTACCCTTACAAGCAAGGAAAGGACTGAATTCAACGCATTTAAAGAAGGAAACTCTTAAGTGTCACCGAGTTGAGTCTGACTCACAGCAACCCTATAGAGCCAAGAACTGCCCCAGTGGGTTTCCGAGA